CCACCTTGCAGTCGCATAAGATCGTCCACCGTTGCTTGCTTTGATCGCTAAAAGAACGCAACACGGTGCGAAGCACTGCAAGCTCTACTGCCGTTGATGTGACTGCAGAGCTGTCCTGAATTTGATGGTTGTGGCATGCGTTGGAATAACGACCGCCACTGCTGAGCTGTTTGGCAGGACGGTGCCGTCGGTGTAGACGTGGGTGCAGTCTTGTTACTTCTCGTACAGCAGAAGTAAGGCGAGCTGCTTGAGGGCTGGTATTCACAAATCTCGTTTCTTCTGGATGCCTGGTATTGTCAGGTTGATGAATGGCTGTTTGAGGTACCATGGAGGAACTGAAGGCCTCGCCACGGACGTAAAGCCAGTTGGTAGAGAGTCACCATGTGCAGTTACCGTTCGACAAAAGAAAGTATGAGGCCTATCCCCTGGTAGAGAGGCTAGGTGGGGACGGGGAGTCCGGGCCACATGCCTCATGTGTGTTCTCGGAGCTTCAATTTCAATAAGGGTCTGCACGAGGTGTCTTTGGCTAAAGCTATATTCGCCACTGTTGAGGCACCCTGAGGCAGACCTAGACTGATTCGAAGCGCCTGTGTCTGAACGCTTTGTATCATGTGTCGGCCTGTTTTGCTGGCGTTTGATAATGCCGGCAGACTGTATCGTAGAAAGCCAAGGAAAAGCACCCTGTAAAGTCGTAACATAGAATTGGGCTGCATTCCCCAAGTCTTTCCAGCGAGAAACTTGAAAAGATAGCATAGGCCCACCAATCGCTTTCTTTTTCAAATACGACACATGAGGGCTCCATGATATGACTCCGCCGATTACGACACCCAGCAACTTGTGGGATCGCCAATATGGTGTATTTTGACCATTAATTGACACTCTGTAATTCCGTCATGGGTTTGCTCGTAAATGCCAGAAGAGCGCACTTTCTGGAGGAAATTTACAGGCCTCGATTACGGACGCACGAAGCAGTTACCAGTGTGAATTGTAATGCAGATGCGAAGAAAGAAAGGTGGGTGAAAAGATAACTTGCCTTGGGCAGGAACCGAACCTGCAACCTTCAAATAACGCGTTCGATGCTGTACCAACTGAGCTACCACGCGGGCTATCTCCTCAGCCACTTTATATATATATATATATATATATATATATATATATATATATATATATATATATATATATATATATATATATATATATATATATATATATATATATATATATATATTTATATATATATATAGTGTATACCTAAGGGCTCGTTTTTCATTGTTCTGACATAATATTAATGAGATCTCACAGAACGCGTTATTCGAAGGTCGTAGGTTCGATTCCTGCTCACGGCTGGTTATTTTTTCATCCACTTTTCTTTCTTTTTATTTACATTACATTTGTTCTAATAACTTTCCCTATACATTCCTTGACATTATTGTCTGTTCGATCTCATTAACATATATATATATATATATATATATATATATATATATATATATATATATATATATATATATATATATATATATATATATATATATATATATATATATATATATATATATATATATATATATATATATATATATATATATATATACATATGAAGGTATGGAATATGGCACAACGAGAGCGTTGTCAAAAAGGATAAATACATTTATTTCCCAACAGTTTCGGGAGGAGTCCTCCCTTCGTCAGGGGATGAGTTATACTAACGCAGACGTTGAAAATTCGTTGCTGCCGCGCCCCTCTCGCCTTTAAAGATGCTTGCGAGAGCGAGAGAAAACTAAAGAAAGAAAAAAAAACACTGTGAGCGCTGAGCGCGAAACCAGCATGTGCACATCCAAATGTCAATGTAAGTCCACATACGGTTCTCATCGTGGTCTGGCCAGTTATCGACGTGTGTCGGGTCACCTAAGATTGTCGCCGCGGTAGCGGGAGGGGTCCGTGACGGCGTGCGTAAGGAAAGAGTTTCCCCTTAATGGGTCGGTCGGCTCTTTACCTTTGATCTTCGCCCGTTTCCGCTAAATGGTCGTCAAGTGGTAGGCGAGTGTAAACACTTTGTATGTACACGTGAGAAAATAATATACAAGAAAAAAAGAAAAAAAGAAAGAAAGGACAGTGTACACGTACGAGTCAGTCAGAAAAAAACAAGCATGGTCTCCAGCTATAAATCTTTGTCACCAATTTCCTCCTGGCTTACTTCTCGGAGGCCGGAGAGTCATCCGGAGACCTCGTTGATGTCGGCCACTAATGTTCTAAATTTGAAAATAAAATATGCCTCCCACTGTTCGCGCCTGTTTGAGAAACCGGACTGTAAATGAGTTACGCTGATATTTTCGAAAGTGTGGTTTGGCAGGCGCAGATGTCTAGATAAAGGTAGCTTCGCCAGTGAAGTGGCGTGGTACCGGTGATTATTGAACCGCAGCCGAAATGGCGTGTCTGTTTGGCCGATAGATGTTGCAATGTAGCATGTATATTACGTTTCTGTAGTCACAAGTAAGAC